CCCTCCAGGCGTGAAGCGAACCGACACCGGCTTAGGGCCTTCATATCCATCCTACGGCAGAGCGTCAGAGGCGAGCAAGGACGGGAGAAGAGGGACGGGGAAAGCGAACAAGAACAAGATGGAGATCGGACAAGGACGAGGGCGAGGGCGAGGGCGAGGACCAGCACCAGCACCAGGACCAGGACCAGGACCAGCACCAGGAGGTAAGAAGGAGGAAGGAAAGGAACTCACCCTGAAACCAGGGTTGCTCTGTTTCCCCAGGCTCTCGTCGTTGGCGAACGACTCGGCCAGAGCTTTGCCGATCTGATCGAAGATTCCCATCTGACCAGGAGGAGGTGAGGAAAGGGAACCTGGAGAGGGGGTGATATGAAGAGAAGCTACCTTCAGGGAGGAGGAAGAGGAAGGACGGAGTGAGATCGCACGACTAGATCTAGCATTGGTGAGGAAGGGGCTAGAAAATGTTGCGGTCAGGTCGGTCGGCGATGCGCTCCCGTCCTCACAACCTTGCAGTGATCGAGAAGCCCGAGCACAGAGCGACGGAAGAGAGGACGAGAACTACTCGGATGACCGCCATCTACACAAGCGAATGCTGTCAGATCATAAATTTGACCTCTTCTCTTTGCTTCCTGCCTTGATAAATTCCTCCTTAAAATCTTCCTCCTCGTTCATTTCAGCGCCTCTCCTCCACTACTCTGTTACACTCTCCTCCTCTCCTCTCCTCCTCGCTCTCCTCCCTCCCTCCCTCCTCCCTCCCTCCCTCCCTCCCTCCCTCCCTCTCTTCCTCTCCTCTCCTCTCCTCTCCTCTCCTCTCCTCCTCTCCCTCTCTCCTCTCTCCTCCCCTCCTCTCTCCCTCTCTCCTCCCCTCCTCCTCCCCTCCCCTCCTCCTCCCTTCCCCTCCTCAGCTCTTCTCCTCTCTCGCTCGCCATAGCCACATCTAAAGGCTTCCAAACTTCACGAACAACTAAGTTTGAAAGTTTTGAACTTTGCAAGTTTAGCCCATCATGGTTTCCCATCAAACTTTGAGAACAAGTTCAAGTTGACTCTCAGTACTAGTATGTTTCAGGCCCTCCCGAGTCCTCGGATCAAGACTCGGTCACTATCGGACGCCACGGCCGGGCGAGGCCCTCGCCGGGATCATTCGGCCCGATCGGACCATGCCGGCCTATCATAGTATGGTTCACCCGGCTGCCCGCCCGGCGGGGGGGATGATGGCCCGGCGGGCAAGGCTACGGTACGGGGGCTCAGTTAGGCGTTCGAGCGGAGGCTAGTTCATTCACATTCGGCCCCGCGAGCCCCGGCCCGGGCCCGGTTAACTAAGTTGACTAACTTTTCAACACCGATTGACCTAGCTAGCTCTCCCCGCCCCGCTCTGTCCATCCTCAGCATAAGGAAGCCAGTACCAGTGCCGGTACTTCTCCTCCATGCTCACTCCCACCTGACCTCCCAGCTCCTGCACATCAGGTGAGTCTTGACCCCTCCTCCGCTCCTCCCTCTCCTCCCCCTCCCCTCCTTCCTCCTTCCCTCCTCCTCCCCTCCCCCCCCCCTCCCCTCCTCCCCCTCTCCCCTTCCCTCAACTCCTCCTCCTCAGCTACTTGCCTGCACAAGTTCGTCGACAACTCCCTTGGTCCCCATCACTGACGCGGCTGCTCCGAGTCCTCCGAACCACGTCTGTGCTGCCATCTGAGTGCAGCGAATAGGGGAGGAGAAAGGACGAGGACGAGGACGAGGACGAGGACGAGGCGCGAAGGAAATAAGGAGGGGGAGGGGGACGGGAATCTGACCCACCTGATCGAAGGAGAAGGAGGAGGTGACGGTGCTGTATCCCGTCCGCCAGTCGAGGTCAGTTTCATCCTTGACTTCCATCAGCCGGCTGCCCCTAGCCGCACCGGCAGCGTGGTAGAGGGCAGCGACGAGAGGAGAGCGGAGGAAGTAGCTCGAGCCGCACAGGACTCCTTCCTCCTGCAGTCGCTCCCTCCTGCTCCTCCTCAGTTACTCCCTCCCTCCCCTCCCCTCTCCTCCCCTCCCACCAGTAGGCGACGGCTTGCTTGTACACATCGACAGTCTCTGCGCCCGCCTGTACACTTGCGGTGAGAAACCTTTGCACGCCTCGTTCCTCCTGCTCCTCCTGTTCTTCTTGATTCTTGCTCCTGCTCCTGCTCCAGCTCCTGCTCCTGCTCCTCCTGCTCCTGCTCCTGCTCCTCCTCCTCCTCCTCCTCCTGCTCCTCCTGCTCCTCCTGCTCCTGCTCCTGCTCCTGCTCCTGCTCCTGCT